TTGCAACGGAACTGGGAAGGCTCCTACTCCATCCTTAAGGAAAATCAACGACCTAATTTGTTGCATTCAGCTGTCAGCGGGAAGTAAATCCAAGGTAGTTCACATTGGAAATATAGCTCGATGCCGTGGTCCAGATCCTCCCCATTAATTCCAACTAGGTCCCAGTAATCAAGTTATTCGGGGCGAATAACTAGAGAGGAGGGAGCAATGTTACGCAGCACCCTGCAGTGTGCTGCGGTCGTCATAAGTGAAAGTCCGAGTAAAGAAGGAGGGGGAATATTCGAGAAATGTCATTCCGCGTCAAGAAAAATCTAGACACTTCAAGAAGGTTCGAGAAGGTTAAAGCAAGCTTATTTAAGTCAGTGATCATGACGTCATGTTTTCAGTTTTATGATAGACGTTATATGTTAAGTTAATGTTATCAGTTGCTAAAAGTTGAGTTGAAATAGAGATACCAAAAACTTACGTAAAGCCGGCTACGGACGATAAGCGATAATATAATATATATTATAGCTCGGCAATGAGCTATAATATAATAAATTATATTATATTATATTATATTATATTATATTATATTATATTATATTATATTATATTATATTATATTATATTATATTATATTATATTATATTATATTATATTATATTATATTATATTATATTATATTATATTATATTATATTATATTATATTATATTATATTATATTATATTATATTATATTATATTATATATATTATATTATATTATATTATATTATATTATATTATATTATATTATATTATATTATATTATATTATATTATATTATATTATATTATATTATATTATATTATATTATATTATATTATATTATATTATATTATATTATATTATATTATATTATATTATATTATATTATATTATATTATATTATATTATATTATATTATATTATATTATATTATATTATATTATATTATATTATATTATATTATATTATATTATATTATATTATATTATATTATATTATATTATATTATATTATATTATATTATATTATATTATATTATATTATATTATATTATATTATATTATATTATATTATATTATATTATATTATATTATATTATATTATATTATATTATATTATATTATATTATATTATATTATATTATATTATATTATATTATATTATATTATATTATATTATATTATATTATATTATATTATATTATATTATATTATATTATATTATATTATATTATATTATATTATATTATATTATATTATATTATATTATATTATATTATATTATATTATATTATATTATATTATATTATATTATATTATATTATATTATATTATATTATATTATATTATATTATATTATATTATATTATATTATATTATATTATATTATATTATATTATATTATATTATATTATATTATATTATATTATATTATATTATATTATATTATATTATATTATATTATATTATATTATATTATATTATATTATATTATATTATATTATATTATATTATATTATATTATATTATATTATATTATATTATATTATATTATATTATATTATATTATATTATATTATATTATATTATATTATATTATATTATATTATATTATATTATATTATATTATATTATATTATATTATATTATATTATATTATATTATATTATATTATATTATATTATATTATATTATATTATATTATATTATATTATATTATATTATATTATATTATATTATATTATATTATATTATATTATATTATATTATATTATATTATATTATATTATATTATATTATATTATATTATATTATATTATATTATATTATATTATATTATATTATATTATATTATATTATATTATATTATATTATATTATATTATATTATATTATATTATATTATATTATATTATATTATATTATATTATATTATATTATATTATATTATATTATATTATATTATATTATATTATATTATATTATATTATATTATATTATATTATATTATATTATATTATATTATATTATATTATATTATATTATATTATATTATATTATATTATATTATATTATATTATATTATATTATATTATATTATATTATATTATATTATATTATATTATATTATATTATATTATATTATATTATATTATATTATATTATATTATATTATATTATATTATATTATATTATATTATATTATATTATATTATATTATATTATATTATATTATATTATATTATATTATATTATATTATATTATATTATATTATATTATATTATATTATATTATATTATATTATATTATATTATATTATATTATATTATATTATATTATATTATATTATATTATATTATATTATATTATATTATATTATATTATATTATATTATATTATATTATAATTATATTATTACTGCAGTGGACGAGAATATATATATATATATATATATATTTTTTATTTTTCAATATAATAGGCTGATCTAGTGAACTATATAGTGTAGTTGCAAAAATGGCGATGGAGAAAGATTTGTTATTGCTAGATACCATTGATAGCTCATCAGAAGATAAATCAGATGCTGAAAGCGACAATGTATTATTATTAGCAATTAGGGTTAGTAACCAAAAAGAAACAATAAGATTGTTTATCAAATCACATCAAATACCGAAAAGAACGAGGAGAATTTACACTTTTTAATGAATTAAGTGACGAAAAATGTACAAATTATTTTCGAATGGACTGAACTAATTTTTATGAATTTCATGATTTATTAAAAAATTAAATAGAAAAGCAAAATATAAATACGCGGAAAAGCATTAGTTCCTTAGAGCGACTGGTAGGTACTTTAAGGTATGTATATAGATACATTATTCTTAGTTATAAGAAAGTGACTTTTCCTAAAAAACTAAAGAGTTTAAAAAAAAATATATTAAAACATAAATATTACAAATCTGTGTAGAAATAGCAACTAATTTTACAAACCTACAAAATTTATTTATCAAACCACGTTCAAAACAAACATGTAAACAACGCCGTTTTACTTTCTTGGCGGGCAGCGCGAAACAAGAGGGGGGAAATATATATCCCAAAAATCGCTCGGAAAGCATATTTCGTCCAACATTAAATATATCGCCCGGCATCGCCGGAATATAGATATATATTATAGCATCAATGCGCGGCGACTTGCACTTTTTAATGCAAAGCGGTATTTTTATAATGTGAGCTATAATATATATATTATATTATTGCTTATCGTCCGTAGCCGGCTTAACTGTATCATGAAGGTATAAAACATCTTTATGTTGTATCTAGGTTTTCCGCAATGACACATATAGTTTATATAGACTGCTTATCCATATATAAACAAGACAACGAAAAGCGGGTCATATTGCTTGTCTTGCCGAGTGCTCACCAGGCATAATCGGTCTGGCCCAAATGAGTTTAAAACTCATATTTGATTAAAGTAGGAATTGAATTAAAAAAAAATTACCTGAATATTTACTTCAAGACAGGAGCTTGGTTAGGTATTTTGATAAAGAATATTTATTTATTTAAATCTTAAAGTTAACTTCCATATTTTCAAAACATTTTAAGAGATCTAAATAATTTTGAACATAGGTGTAAACAATTTTACACTCCTGTATGAACATCTTATAAAAACGATGTGCAATTAAAATACCCTATATTATCAAATTTAACAGTTATAATTAATTTTTTTAAATTTGCTGGAATACCTATAATGTAAAATCACATTCTTGCAAATTCAAAATGGTCATGCGCAGTTGAATTTTACCATAATATTGGTATTTTTTCTTTAAAATAACTTCATTCTTCACATTTATAGTTAAATATTTACATGATTTGTAAAATTCTGCTTTCCTAAAATGTACGATTTTGAAGTGTATTTAAGTATTTGATAATGTAACAAAAAATGCATAATTCTTGATATTATTATAAAAATAATGTACAAAATAACAAACCTATAAATGGACATTTGATTTCTAATAATTTTATGGGTACACCTTTATTGTTTATTTTTATATGTTTATTTTTGAAATAATCAACCCTACCTCCTCTACAATAATAATACCATTAGTTGCATTTATGCATGCCTATCGAGCCTAAAAAATATCAATTTTAGACAGTATATAATAATAAATATTTTGTTAATCATTAACCATTTTTTTTTAAATGTTTATATATTCAAATAAAGGACTTAATAAAGCTATGCAATAAACTACTGGACAGTATGAACTATCTAAGCATGATTGCATTTAAAAGACGACTCAGAAAATGGATATTTGATATGGTTTCTTCGAAGAATGAAAAAGTAAATCATGTTTGTCTCTCTGTATTGTTACTTATGCTCGTTTTGTTCTATTTATATTGAGTTTTTATATTATAATACTTCTTTGTAACTAACTAAACTTTTAAAATCTACTTGGCAAGCCCAGCTAGCTCTAACTCGGGCCTTTGAATATAATATTTATATTTATGTTATTTTATTTACAATAAAGAATTTGTTATTAATATTATCATTATTATAATTAATTATTATAATTCATAAGCGTATTTACCTTGTACCTATTTGTATTAATACTTACGTGAAAAATAAAATGATATTTTTTATATTTCTGTAGCTGATCTTATAGAGCAGGTTTATAGAGCAATTCACCATTTAAATTCAAAGACAAAACAATTTTTTATATTCAATTAATTAAAAAAACAGAACATAAGTATAATTAAAATTTAATAAAATGAACAATTCAACAAAATGTTCGACTGAGCAATGACAGTGACAACAAAATCTCAATTATACAAAACTTTCTTCTAAACCGGTTCTGTAAAAGGTTTGTTTACCAGTGAGCACTTACAATTGAGACAAAACACAAACATTGTATGTACTAGACAAAGAGAAAACATCTCCCAGTTCGACCCGCTTTTCATCGCTTTATTTACGTATGGATGAGCAGTCTATATAAACTATATATGTCATTGGTTTTCCGATATCTATGGTTCTGTTTTGTACATATTTCGTGTCTGATTATTTGACTTTGTCAAATTTGTCACACATCTAATTTTCCACTCAATCACAAAATTCCGGTAAATCTTAATTTTGCTTAAAATTTACAATCGCCCGCTATGGTTTGTATCATGTTGACGAAGTACAAAATCACATAGTCTACTGTATACTCCAGTATCACAATGAAATTATGAGTTTGGATTATAAATTTTCAGCGAAAACAGTCATCGGCGATGGTCGAACAACCATGCAGCTTTTGGATGCGATCAAGGAATGGATCAAAAGTTTAAACGATAAGGATGTCCCGCATTTCATACAAGATGAACTAGTTGTGCTGTTTCTAACATGTTTAGATAATAATATCGATGTAACTAAAAATTCCATTATTGCTTTTTATAAGCTGAGAAAAGAAGCTCCAGATATTTTTGATGGAAGAATTGTGTGTAACGAAGACATCATTTTAGCGCTAAATACAATGTAAGTCAGTAGGCTTACCGCTTTTTTTCGAAGGTGGGTCGATATCTTCTGAAATCTAAGTCTATTTTTATTGAATTATAAAGAGTAAAAAAGTAAATTTAACGAGCAGAGTCGAGTTGGCTCCAGCATAATCCGAATTACCCGACATCGAAAAAGGTAAAGGCCTCTGTTCACGTTTGGCTAATTAGTTGGGCCAAAGATAAGGACATTGTTTACACGTTGGCGTTGCTCTTTCTGCATTGGCCATTTGACGAGAATGGATATGGAAACTATCGCAGCTGCAGCAATTTACTTGTACAGCACTTTAAATTTTTATATTGTGCAACAAAGAATGGTCATTAAAAAAGTGGCACAAAAGAAGATGGTGGATGCTGAGTTACCATATTATTGGTTCATTTTGATACAAATCTATAAACTTAAAAATTTCTTCACTATTCCATACCGCCATCGCAACTCGAAAATACACTTACGTCGTAACACTACCGTTTCCACTTAACGGGTAACTATGAACTGAAGAAAAGGCCAACGTGTGAACACTGATATGTGCACGAAAAACCGACAACATTCGGCTGACTGGCCAACACTGACCAGTGGCCACAAACTACTAAGTTGTACCACGTGGCATTATACACGTTGGCCCAACTCATTGGCCCAACTAGTGAGTCAGACGTGAACAGGGGCCTTTACGAACCTTATCAACGGCATAGACAAAAATATTTAAACACAAAACAGAATAGAGTAAAAATGTATTATAATATATGCCCCTATGTACCCATAAAATTGAAGATTATATATCTTAAAATAAAGATACTAAATTTTAAATACAAAAATTTGTATTTGTTTGGGTTTTAGGTATTTTTAAAACTATTATTTCTAAGAACGAGTCGTGTGTAGTATTTTCAAGAATGATCGATTCTTAATTCATTTTATATTTATTAAAAATGGATGTAGGTACTTGTGTGCTATAAACTCAAAAAGTAACGGAAAAATCTGAGATTTGGAGAAAAAAAATAGTAGAAAACGTTTTTCTGTCATGTCTGTTGATTATCTAATAAAATTAAAATATTATTTAATCGAAACGTATTCCAGATATCCGGACAAGAATATTTTAAAATTTAAAGGAAACAAGTACACGGAGAACTTCAGAAACCTTTGAAGAATCCTGTCAAACAATCAACAATTGTTGTCTTTAAAACAATTGCAGCAAGATCTGTATTGTGCAAGGAGACTCTAATATGGCAAGTATGAGCAAAATAATGCTCTGGAGAATAATTTTAAAATGTTTAAATTATGTGTATAGAAAGATTAATAGAAAGAGCCATGACGATTGAACCAGAGGAAATTATTTGTATATAACTACTTACGATCAGTCCAAATAAGCACGCGAAACAGGAAAAATTCTAATATTTTAATGAAACCACAAACTCTAAATAATTTATTAAAGAAATATGGGAAAGCGGTCAAAACTCCTTCTCATATACGGTGTGATAATGAGATGGGAACTTATTATTTAACCGGCGTTTTTGAAAGCGCTTTCAAAAAACAATATCAAAATATGTTTTTAAATAGTTACCAATAATTGAATTACTTTGAATAACTTTGACACAGATTAAATTTGCATCCGGTAAGTTCTACCTCGGGCTAAACCAGAATGAAATAGATTTGAGGTAAAAATAAATGACAACAATGACAGCCATTTATTATTATTATTATTATTATTATTATTATTATTATTATTATTATTATTATAATTTGATAAGAGCAGGGGCCATAAGACCCATAAGCCCATATTAACTGAATATAAAACAATTTTACTAAAAACTAAATCAATAACAGGTACAACCGATGAATAAACAATGAAACAAATGAAATGTTAATTAAAAAATAGAAAATTATCAAGTTCGTTCTTGAAAACATTGACAGATGGAGCATTTACAACATTCTCCGGTAGAGAATTCCAAGTGTGGAATATTCGATTAATTAAAAAATTTTGCCTCGTTTTCGTAAAAAATTGTTCTTTTTTCAGCTTCCATTTATGGCCACGTAGTCGATTTTCACTGTCCACGATGAACATACATTTTAAATTTCCAAAATTATATTTTAAAATACGAAAACAAATTATCATGTCACCCCGCAGACGGCGATTTTCAAACGTTTGTAGTTCAGCCATATGTAGTCTCTCTGCGTAATTAGGTCTCATACGTCCGAAAAATAGTCTGGTTGATCGGCGCTGAACATTTTCAAGAATATTTTCATCCCGCACTAGTTCCGGACACCACACAGCTCCGCAGTACTCGATAATCGGACGAATGTATAATTTATACAGCCGGATAGAATTTTGAAAAGACACTTTTGCGAATGTTTTCTTTAATAAGTACATTTTCGTGTTCGCCTTTTTTGACACTTGAAGAACGTGCTTCAGACCAGCTGAGATTTTCAGTAATTATAACACCTAGATCATTGTAAGATTTAACTTTATTTAACGTATGACCGTTTAGAAAATAATTATGACGAGGATTATTTTTACCAATATGGAGAACTACACTTTTATTTGTATTTAGAGGTAGCATCCAATCTGAGCACCGGTTATAGATGGAGTCAAGGTCATCTTGAAGCTGTTGGAAGTTCAGAGACGGGTCACTAAATATTTTAGTGTCATCTGCGTAAAAAATATTGTTGCACTTAATATGGAATTGAAGGTCACTGGCATATATTATAAATAAGCGTGGACCCAGAACTGATCCCTGAGGAACCCCACTCAAGACTGGTCTTTCAAATGAATGCGAATTTCCAACTTTAACACAGTACTTTCTATCAGTTAAGAATGACTCGATCCATTTAAGTAAATCACCACGTATACCAAGGTGTTCTAACTTATGTAGTAATCTTCGTTTCGGCACACGATCAAAAGCTTTCGCAAAATCCAGGTAAATAATGTCTATAGGTTTTTTCCTGTCTAATGAAACTGTCCACTCATTTACACACCAAAGCAAATTGGTCATGGTTGATCGCCCTTTTACAAATCCATGTTGCTGTTTGGGAATGATTTCTTCCACTAAGAGAAACTGAGAAACGTGCTCTGTTATTATGGATTCCATAACTTTACAGATTATGGGTGTGAGGCTGATTGGGCGGTAGTTATTAGAGTCTAGTTTGTTTCCTTTCTTGAAAATGGGTGTTACAGAAGTTGTTTTCCAGATAGAGGGTAATGTGTGTGTATTAAAAGACAAAGACATTATAATAGATAAAGGAACTGATATGGTATTAGAGCATTGTTTTAAAAATAGAGAAGATATTTGATCTAGACCTGGAGAGGAATTGTTTTTTAATTTTAAAAGGTGACGTTTGACAATTTCAGGAGTAAAATTGAGTCGTTCTAAGGAAGAATGGATTCTTTCGGTGAGATATCTGGTAACTGATCCTGGGGAGGTTCATTGGTGAAAACTTTTGTGAAGGTATTAGCTAAAAGTTCAGCCGTTTCGAAATTATTTTGGCAGGGACTTCCATCTTCTTTGTTTAGTAAAGGAATGGATACTTTTGATGACAGTGAAGATCTAATATATTTGTATATTTTTTTACAGTTTTGGCTGCATGCTATTGACTCTTCATATTCTTCTCGGGCCTCATTTATAAATTTCTTTAGGTCCTTGGAAAAATTTTTGTGATATTCTAGATCTACAATACTATTTGACCGCTTATATTTACGATATAATTTACTTTTATGTCTAATCAAGGATATTAGTTCTCCGTTGATCCACGGTTGTAATTTATTTTTATAAAACACCTTCTTTTTAGAGTATTGCATTTTATGAGTAGCAATAAAAATTGCGAACTTATTCCATGCTTCTTCCGGATCTCCCGAGTCCCCCAATGTTTCTATCCAGTCGATGGTAGATAAATGACGATTTAAGTTATCGAAATCGATGATTTCATAAGATGAAGTATGATCTTTGTGAGATGGGTTCTCTATGTTAAACTGTATACGACTTATGATAACTGCATGATCCGATATTCCTATCGGAGATTGAATGATAATGTCAGTTAATAATTGTTTATCATTTACAAATAACAAATCTAGCGTGGAAGGAATATTGTTGACTCGGAATCGTGTTGGATCTGTTATAAGTTGTTGTAAATTAGAGCTTAGAACAAAGTTCAAAAATTTATTTTTTGAATTTACAACATCACTTGGAGTGAGAGTAACTGGCCACGAAATATCTCGGAAATTGAAATCACCAATAATAATGACATTTTCTAGTGAAGACAGATATTCAAGTTTTTCAATAAGGATTGTATCTTCAGCTAGTTGAGGGTCTCCGGGACGATAAATACAGACTAAATGAAGAGTAATAGAGCTAGAATAAATTTACTTAAATTTAATATTACTGTCATGCGTAACATTACTTTGTGAAATTCAAGTTAATCCTAACCAAATCTAGCGCGGTTCCCTTAAATGTTACCCTAATTAGGCGGGCACCAACTTGACTCTCCCGAATTTAATAGATAATATATTTTTTGCAAAACAACCATTACTTAACCTGTTTTTCAGAAAGTGAACATCTTATTACTTACTTTTGCAATAAACAGGGTGTTACTTATTGAGAGGCCGTAATTCCAAGGCCGCATTTCTGAGCTAAATTCATGTATAAAACTGCATGCAAGCATGTGTCCTAAAAAGATAGAGGGTAAAAAAACTCTTTAATATCTCAAAGATTCTTTTGCTGATATTATTGAAATTTGGCAGTGTTATAAATTGTAATTAAATGCGAATTTAACACTAACTAGATATTATTAAAAAACGATTTTTTTTAAACATTGAAAACCACACTTTTTAGGAAACTTGTTTATACAAACGATTATACGTGAATTTGGTTCAGAAATGTGCCTTTGAAATTACGCCTTATCATTAAGTAACACCCTATATACACACATTAGTACATTATTATTACCATGATCTTTTAACTTATTTAGATACATTTTAGGACCATGATTATGATACCAACGAGAACAAGCTCAAACGATGTTATTCTTCTATTTAAATTGAATGATTCTAATTACAAAAATTTTGACGCAATTTCAACAATGAAGCTGTGTTTTATGCTTATGGACTTGACTTATCACGGCAGTCCCCCCAATGGGTTGATACTGTTAGTTGATACTGAAATGGTAAGTTGAACATAATAACCATCTCTTTATTTATTATTCACATAGACAATAAAACTGCAGCGTCTACCAACAAATATATTAACTTAGGTGTTATCCTAATACCCTCTTCTTTAATTTGTGAGATGGCAACTGACAAAGCTAAGCAATTGGTGCAAGAATTACATTATTTGAGTTCTTGGTTATAAACACAATGACAAATTGCATCCTTGGTTGGGGTTTAAGACATGATAACTGTGACGAAGTCACTTAATTTTTCATAAATTTAATTTTAAAATGTTTAATTTAAGTTATTTTTTTTTTCTAATTTTGAAATATTTAGTTCAAATTAATCCGCCTGATAACGTTCTCAAGAACCCCTATATTTTTGTTTTCTGGAAATTCCCGTTTTCGAACATTTCAAAATATTCCCTTTTAAAACGTTCAAATTCGAGTAATGTATCTGGTCACTTTGATAAATATCAAAAGGACGTTTTTTTAGTCTTTCGGGTAGTAAATATTGGCTACTCCCACTCGCCGTATTTAATGAGCTCTCATCGAACCCTATGTCTCTTTGCTGCCGATAATTTCGTTTATGCCGCTTTCGCGACTTTCGCAATCGGGACTTTTCACTTCATACCTAAATTTTACCTTTTTTTCCGCTTTCGTGACTTCAAGTTGATTTAACTGAAAATTAAATATAACCTTCCCGCATTCGGGACTTCTTAATCTGTACAGAAGAAGATATAAGTTAGGTATGAAATAAAATCCCTTCAGTTCTAAGATTTTATTTATCAAATATTTACAAATTATTATTATTATTATTATTATTATTATTATTATTATTATTATTATTATTATTATTATTATTATTATTATTATTATTATTATTATTATTATTATTATTATTATTATTATTATTATTATTATTATTATTATTATTATTATTATTATTATTATTATTATTATTATTATTATTATTATTATTATTATTATTATTATTATTATTATTATTATTATTATTATTATTATTATTATTATTATTATTATTATTATTATTATTATTATTATTATTATTATTATTATTATTATTATTATTATTATTATTATTATTATTATTATTATTATTATTATTATTATTATTATTATTATTATTATTATTATTATTATTATTATTATTATTATTATTATTATTATTATTATTATTATTATTATTATTATTATTATTATTATTATTATTATTATTATTATTATTATTATTATTATTATTATTATTATTATTATTATTATTATTATTATTATTATTATTATTATTATTATTATTATTATTATTATTATTATTATTATTATTATTATTATTATTATTATTATTATTATTATTATTATTATTATTATTATTATTATTATTATTATTATTATTATTATTATTATTATTATTATTATTATTATTATTATTATTATTATTATTATTATTATTATTATTATTATTATTATTATTATTATTATTATTATTATTATTATTATTATTATTATTATTATTATTATTATTATTATTATTATTATTATTATTATTATTATTATTATTATTATTATTATTATTATTATTATTATTATTATTATTATTATTATTATTATTCATTCTTATGTGAATTTTTTAATCGGTGTCGAACCCTCCGTCTCCGACAACTAGAGGGTCGAGCCGATTAATTAAAACGACAGCGACTCTCCACACCGCAGAGTCAGTCACTGCCGAGTTCCGCTATTCGTGTGCCCTTAGTAGTCGCAACGATCCTAGTATGACTGCCTTCTGCATCCGACCGGCTAATATTTCGGCCATGTCGCTACATGCTGGTATGGTCTTCAGCTCTGATAGCAGTGCATTCTTAATGCCACCTAAACAACCGATTATCAAAACCACCAAACGTACTGTGTGATCTGGATACAGCCTGCGTATTTCGAAGATGAGATCTCGATATTTGGTTCGCTTTTCCTCCTCCTTTCTGGCGATGTTGTTCTCGCTAGGTGCCGAAAACTCGATAACATATATCGCCTTCTTTTGGTGGTCTAGAAGGGTTATATCAGGCTTGTTTGCTTGCAAACGCCTAAGCGTAGGAAACGAATAGTTCCAGTAGATACGGCATTTTTCGTTTTCTACGACGGACTCAATTTCCTCCGGTACATAAGGAATAACCGGTGTCTCATCTATACTATAAGAGTGTCTCAGATGAAAGTAAAGCACTCGCAGAGCAGCATTGTGTCGCTGGATGTAGGCCGAGACTGCGTATTTAGGACATGCGGATAGTAAATGCATGATTGTCTCTTGTGATCTGTGGCAGGCCCTGCAGCTAACGTCGGGCGTGTCGAAACCTAGTACATTTCTCCGATATACAAGAGTGTTGTAAACCCCATCTTGACAGGCCATTATAAATCCCTCAGATTCTGATTTGAGGCCACTTGACCTTAGAAAGGCATATTGCGATAAGGAGGAAGTCTTAATACCGTAATACCACGATCACGAGCCATTGTGTCGACAACATATTGAATATATTTATGGCAGTGTTCCTTTATTAGGTCCATTAATTCCACTTTAAGCATCTCCTCAGTAAATGTTATTGCTTTATCCCGCAGCCAGGTTTGCATATCCGCTTTCCTACTGGACATTATCGGAATGCGTTTAACTTGTCGACTGTGATAAGAAGCGTTATCTAGTACAATAACTGAATTTCGTTCTACACGCTGTAATACTTCAGTAAACCATTTTTCAAAGCATTCCGCATTAATGTCCTCGTGGTAGTCTCCTGTTTTTTTCGATATAAACACAAGACCACTATTTTCCAAAAATCCACTGTCACTTCCGATATGGGTAACAATTAGGCGCTGTCCTTTACCTGGTGATGCTTTCAAACCTGTAGATAATCCCTCTATAAAAGCTTGGCGATGACTAGTTACAGAAGTATCTTGTCATATCTTAGATACCGTGTGTCCAGCATTCACCCACGTTTCATAGAAATAGTATATCTTTTTTTTAGCGGCTCTAAACTCTTTAATATTTCGTAAATAACGCCGTCGCCAGGACACTATATCTGACCTCTGAACTAAAATTGATTTCCTACACCTTTTGACAAAACGAAATTTTAGGCCCCATAAAAGGAAAAGTACAGACATGTCTGGAATTTTGGATTATTTTCTGGAATACGCCGGGAATTATAAATTGTCCGGAATTTCCAGAAAAATCATCAAACGTATTAAGATATACTTAAAATCCCGTAGTTCTTTTGGCCGTTAAATTTAACGTCGACATAACTTTCTTAGTTTTTGACAGATACAGTTTTTGACTTATGTACTTTTTTAATGAAACGTTTAGTAATTATTTCATAACTCAGTTTTATTGTTCTGTCCGGATTTTTAAAGAAATGTCCGGAATTTTCATTAGCCATGTCAGGAAATTTTGAATATTATGGTATTCCTAGGTGAGATCATCCCACTCATTTTCAACCTAACCTTTATTTGGATGAACAAATGAATATTGATGTTTGGCAAATTTAAATCATTGCACTTATTCTTTTGCAGTTTGGCTTCAAGCATATGGCTAGATTAAAAATGGATGCTTTAAAAAAGTTTTTCACGTTCCTTCAAGAAGCCCTGCCGTTGAAACTAACTGGATTTCATTTTCTGAATTCCAATTTCGTCTTAAGAACTCTTTGGTCTATGGTTAAAGTGTTTATTAAAGACGATGTGTTACTTAAGGTAAGCAGCGGCAACATAAGAACTTCCTATTACCGATGTAAACAATGACATCTACTAAAAAATTATCTGTTAGATTCGAACTAAAAGCAAAATTCGAAATTAGCATAGTACCTATTGATTCAATTTTACAAAATGGCATCACTTATTTGACACTATAATGAATCCTCGAAAACACCATTGAATACTTTGAAATTTTTTCCTTGGATCTATGCTCTATTTAATGCTATTACAGAAGGCCTTGTTTAAATGACGTAGCTATTTATAGGGCAGTTCAGTGCGAAGCATTGAGACAACGGAAATATTTAGGGTCTCGCAGGGGCTCTCTAATAATTATAATTATTTTATTGTATTTACATTCGTAATAATTTTAAAAATTCATGTTTTTATTTGTCTAAAAATTATAGCCCAGATTACAAAATGTTCTAATTGGAGTTCATGGTGAGCGGAAAAATTGTCGAAAGTCAAAAGTACGAAGGTAAAAATGTTGATCGAAATTGTAAATACTCGAAAATACAAAACATCGAAAGTATAAATAATCGAAAATATAATTGGTCGAAATTAAAAAAGGGCAAAAAATCAATTGGTCGAAGCATGTTGCGAGCCTACATTTGTCATTTTTAATTTTAACTAAAATGTTTTCACCTCTTTAACGAAGAGCAACTCTGTATCTTGTTATACAGCAATGGACATATGTACTTACAGGAAAAAGTTTGCAATGAATCCGAATATTTTAAATGCGAAAAATGGAGAAAAGGTTGTAAGGGAAGGGCAATAATCAAGTACGGTAACAAATCCTCTACGAAAGAACATAATCATGAGGGTACACTAGAATCAATAGAGGTTAGTAGAATAAAAACTGAAATAAAAAAGCAAGCCATCGAAATCAACGATAGGCCACGTACAATATTATCTAATGCTTCAGCAGCTTTAAGTGTTATTGCTAGTACATCCAGCACATCTGTGGATAGTTTAAAAAGAACTATTAGACAGATACGTCAAAAATACAGTTCCGGACTTTCGGTACCGTTAAAACTAGAAGACATCATTTTTCCAGACCAATATAAAAAACTAGAAAAGGTGAGGAATTCGTACTTTATGATTCAAATTCTAAAGACAGAACAATTATTATTATAGGAACGCAGATTAACATAAAATGTCTTTCTCGTAGCCAACAGTGGTACATGGATGGTACCTTCAAAACCATACCTAATCTGTTCCTACAGATGTATACTATTCATGCTGAAATTAACGGTGGTTACTATCTATTGATTTACGTTTTATTGCCTAACAAAACAAAAAAAAACCTATATTTTATTATTAGAAAAAATACGAGAATTCTTAAAAGAACCTAAAGTTGGCTCTATTACTACTGACTTTGAGGTAGTTGTATCGAAACATCTGCACTACTTTTTCCGAAAGCAACGCGACATGGCTGCTATTTTTTTTTTCAAACAAGCTGTATTTCCAAATATTCAATCAATTGGTCTGAAAGTTAAATATGACACAGATGCGGAATTTCTGTTAAAATGATGACGGCTATAGCTTTCGTACCAGTAAACTATATGTCCTTAAAGCATATGATATTTTACACAAAATTAATCTTATTCCAAAAGAAGTAAAAGGAATTATACATTATTTTGACGAAACATGGTTTGGATACGGGACCACAGAAAATGGAATAAAAAGAAAAGCAAAATTCGAATATTCCCCGTGGAATTATTATGAGAAAACGGTTCTTCAGCTGCCACGTACCAATAATTATTGTGAGGGATGGCACTCTAACCTAGCCAAACAATTTAGGTCTAAACATCCTTAAATTTGGACGTTTATGAAAGAATTAGGTCAGTAGGCGTTTCACTGGGAGTTCAGTGATCATATTACAGTTTATTTCAGCTTTTTAGCCTACTGCAGACGTAAAGATAACAGGAATGTACTGTAGAATGTTGCAGTAAAAGGATCAAGTTCTATCAAGTGCACAGTTGTACAAGTTTCAGAAAACAGTATAATATTATTATTTGACCTTGTATTTAAAACTTTCTGTACAAAATATAAATCAGCCTGTACCTATTTAATTATTTTCTTTTAGTTTTTTCTACACGAACCCGATCCAAAGCAAGAGCAGTTATTTAAATACATACCAAGAGAATGCCTGCCCAGAGAATATGGAGGAGACTTGCCTGGCATCACGATTTTGCAAGATTTAACGGTACGCAAACTTAAGGCGAATCAAGAATTTTGGAATAAAGAAGAAGCTTTACGAAAAGAATTTAGTTTAATTCTAATGTAATTAGGCAATAAATAAAAACCAATTATGTAGTTTCATTCCCTTTCATCCCTTTCATTAACGATAATAACAAGGAAAATAATTAGAAAACTAAAGGGGACTATCTGGGGATCGCGGTAATTACAAGTTTGAGATTTTTACTTTCCTATATGTATACAGATATAAGGAAAGTATAGTAATCATAATTTTTTTCGACCTCCAGTTTTCGACGGATTTTTACGTTTTGAGGTCCCCTGAATCCGTTTTGACTATTTTCGCGATGATGTGTGTGTGTGTGTGTGTGTGTGTGTGTGTGTGTGTGTGTGTGTGTGTGTGTGTGTGTGCGTGCGTGCGTGCGTGCGTGCGTGCGTGCGTGCGTGCGTGCGTGCGTGCGTGCGTGCGTGCGTGCGTGCGTGCGTGCGTGCGTGCGTGCGTGCGTGCGTGCGTGCGTGCGTGCGTGCGAGCGTGCGTGCGTGCGTGCGACTCGATGTTCGGGAACCTTATTTTGTGTTGCTCAAGCAATACAAGTATTAAAAGCTGACACTGCATCATCTTTCACTAAACACGGAATTTCGGAAATATCGTCGGAATTGTCATCAGAATCGGAATCTACACCAATATTTTGAATTATATCAGCTTCAGTTAATTCGCCGCTGATTGCTTTATCATTCACTACCCAATCTCTTCATTTGTTAAGCTCTGGTCAAGTTTCTTACTCAACTCCCTAACCTCTTCCAGTTCATTTTGTATCTCTGTGGGTTCTGTCTTTTTAATTTGTCTGACTAACCGAGCTAGCGGGATGTCCTCTTCTTCATCACTGTCACAAACATTTTCTTCTGGTATCTCAGTTGGCAGCAGTATTTTACTTCAAGATTTTGTTATCAAGCCAGTGCCCACATTTTGCCAGGCCTCGTTCAAAGAGAAAACAACGTCCTTCAGAGTTACATCCTTCAATGCTTGCGAAATATCACAATCAGACGCAACAATTTTTTGAAGTAATTTTTTACGATAAAATAATTTTATGGCCTGTATAACATGCTGATCCAATGGTTGGATCAATGGCGTACAATTTGGGGGAAGAAAAATCACAGAAATCTTGTTATCGTCGCTAAACAATTGAGTAGGGTGTCCAGGTGTATTATCTAAGATTAAAACTGCCTCCGGATTGAGCTTGAGCTCTTTCATTTTACGCCTTACTGTAGGAACAAACTCACTGTGGAACCACTCAGTAAATATTTCTCTCGTTACCCAAGCCCTTCGTTGACCTTTGTACGAAACAGGAATGTGAATATTTTTTAAAGCACGAGGTTTCATGCTCCAAAACGCCGACATTTGATAAAAAATATTCTTGGACGTCGTAGTGCTTCACCTAGATATTAGAAATGGTAATGGATACTATTATTTACTCAAAAGTAGTTGAATAATTAATATATAATTTAATTTAATAATAAAAGTATTATATACTGAAAAATGGTTACATTTGACCGGGGAAACTTGAGAAATTGTGATTTTTTGTACTTTTCTTCTAACTAACAAACAACCTTCATAAGTACTGAACAAGAATAGGTTAACTGTTATTTTTTCTTTTATTTTTTTATATGTTTATTTAATAAAATTTTCAATATTTTGTAGGGGTAATTTCGCAATTTGTTTGGGGATATTCAAGGAATATAATATTAATACATAATGATGAAGCTTCTGCAGCAGCATTCCGGAGCTTCTGCAGCAGCATTCCGGGGCTCACGCAATCAAATGCTTTCGTTAAGTCACAAAAGGCTGCTACAGCGGATTTGCCTATGCTGTTGGGCTCCTTTATTTAGTTTAAGTTAATAATTTTGTTAGTTACTAAACCGTTAAATTAAAAGTTTAAATAAATTTTTGGATAAATATTTTGTGCCATAACTATTGGGATATTGTTATTATTATAATTTTTTTATGTATTCTCGAACAATACCTTAGCTGCTGCCATTTGCTTTGATTATGCAGATGAATAAACGACTAATTAAAATTGTAAAACAAAAAGTCGAGTAGATACCGTCATTGAATACTAAATAATAACATGCATATCGTATCTACACTGATCATTTTATAATTAATCGTGATATAGTAGTGATTGGGTTTGGATATTATAAAATATATAATTTCATGTAAGTATTGTTAGATTAAAGAACCAGTTGTTAGATGCAAATTATACACCTAATATTTAAAAATATGTTACTGTTTCTAAAATTTGGTATTTTGTTGTTGACCATGTTGAAAATTGTATTATCGATGTGACTTGCATTTATCGAAATATTCGATAAGGTATTTAGTTTTTTTTTGTCTATAAAATCATAAAAATGTTACTTATCCATATTTGTTTTTTTTTTAAATATAAAAATAATTCTTTAAAATCGTTACAATTCATTTTGTACTTCCAACCAATTTAAAAATGTTTAATTCGGACAAATACGCCATTCTTTTTAAATAAATTTTTAAATATTATGTTCCTAATATGTATGTGGCAGGTTCAGTCTGGTAAGAAAAAACAGCACTGACATCATTCAAACAACCGGCTCTAGGGGGATACTACCTGGGGACGGTGCGACATAGAAATTTTAATATATTTAAAACATATTTTTTTAAATGTTTGTCAACCTTCAATTCTTCCTAAATAAACTTTTTTTCTTATAGATTTAGTTGGTTTCAAAATTCAAAACAAAATACAGTAGTCAGAATAATTAATAGTAGTAGTCAGAATTGACGAATTATTTATTTACGTACTTAATAACAATAATGTCTAAATCAAATTATTTTTTGAACATTTCGAAGAAAATCTATCATAATTTCTCTGCGAGAAAAATCCACAGTTAACTAAGTGTAAAAAGTAACTGAAATCTACATAGTGTAAATAACTGTAACTAGCATTAAATGAAAACTATAGTTAAATATACGTCATAAAAATTAATGACGTCACTACCAAACAATTATACTTTAGGACGAACATCTCTATGGTACAGGTAACTAACTATAAATATTAAAAGAATTGTAACCCACCACACCTAACAAATAGACTTAGCTACTTTAGTCTAGCTAGTCCATAAATAATTTAATCTACAATTTACATGTATTTAACTGTAACTTTCATCCTAAAACTCGAAACCGACATATATAATGTGGGTGTCCCGAAATTAGACGGTCATATTTTAGCAGCGTAATCTACATCCCAAAATAGGAATAAAAGTTCATGTAAATATAGGTCCGAAAACGTTCCGTTTTCGAGATACAGGGTGTTACAAGTGAAGTCCTGATGGCATATTTTTGTAAATATTTTTTAAAATTTCTTTAGTCACCGGTTTTCCAAAGTAAAAAAAAATAAAATTTCTGATTTCACATGCCTATTAATTATTGTTTACACTTTCGAATAACTTATCATGAAATTTTCAAATGCTTTTTTCTTGAAAATGGTACGTCCTAGCGAGATGCAACATAACTAACTTTATTGTAAAGAAAACATTGGTTTTCCAAATTTTATAATCAAAAATGGTAAAAACTGTCAACAAAAAAAACTTAGGGCAATTTTACCCTAAGCCCCCCAAATTTACCCACCTAAGGAAGGTGATAAAAACTGGAGCTTAGTCCATTAGATAGAGCGTAAAAAGGTTAGCATTTGTACCAAATTTGACTTAGTTATCTTTAAACGTTTAGAAAATATTTACAAAAGAGTGTCATCAGGACTTTACTTTTAACACCCTGTATCTCGGAAAAGAAACGTTTTCGGACCTATGTTTATTTGAACATTTACTCCTATTTTGGGATGTATATTGCTGTTAAAATATAACCGACTAATTTCGGGACACCCTGTATATATAATGTATATATAATTCAGTTCATTTGTTGTACCTAACTTTTACACTGTCTTAGGCAAGGATTACAGTTAATGTCACCTAGAAGCTATACGTATTTTACTTGTAATCTTCTTTTGAGCTTATCTGTCATTTATAGATAAATGTACCTATAACCTGCATTTAGTGCAATCTTATATGACGAATATCTTTACGTGAACTTTGGAGATACTACCTATCGCTCTAAACTAACCCCTGTTTCCAGAGTTTTTTCTTATTCCTGTTGAGACTGAGACTTTTTCTTTTTTTATGCGCTTGTGTGATATTAAATATTTTATTGTCTTTGCGTTTGATAATATTGACACCATAATTTGTAATAGAAAAAAAAAATATTAAACAATGGTATTTTACTGATGAAACTGAATTACAATTTTTGGTATGTTTATTTTTTTTTAATTGACGTATATCTGGCTAAAAAATAAAGGAAAAAAACTATTTATTGAACGGTACAAAAATATGTATCTATACATATACTACACATCCAAGAATTTAAACCTACGAGATATCTAATTGTTACGTACAAACACAAAGTTAAAGTGATTGGTACTAAACCTGATATGTAACTGTAGAGAACAATAGTTCGTAAAATACAAAAAAAAATATATACATGCAACAATAATTTTAATCTAAAGGACAGCTCATTGTTACATACAATCGAAATATATATTTGAAATCTTCTAAAATCTGGAAAAAAAAAACTAAGTTAATAGTTCACTAGCGAAAGATAATCGGCACACATATTCATTCGAACACCTAGCTCCGACACTTACCAAGGGATAGCTCTGCATTCAGCGTTTTGAATCACTGAAAGTATGAGATGAATTTTGATTCGGATCTAAGGTGGGATCTTCTTCGGAAACCGCTTAAATGATTTTTATGGACATTTGATGGCGTCCATACTTTCTTGACATTTTTAAAGTAGTACACGGTCCAACTGTTTTTTTTTTAAGACTCCATGGCACTGAAGAAAAGAAAAACATACTTTAACTACATATACAGTATGTCCCCCTAAGTTGGAATCATATGGAAAACTTTTTTATTATTAATTTTAGGAAAAAAATTTATTCTCCATAAAAAGTTTTGCATGACCAAAAACTTAAAATACAGTCATCAGATATCAAATTTTTTAGTCCGTATATGAGATTTGTCAAAAAATATGAATTTTGCTTAAGAGTAAAGTAGGTACGTTTATTTTTGACAAAATCGAAAATTTTCATAAAGAAAAGTTGATTAGAATTGAAAAGTACATTCAAATATGCAATTACACCGATCTATCTGAAAAATCAGATTTTTTCTAGATTTTGCATTGATCCAAGGTAATCAAGGTAATCCATAATATTTTTTTTCTCTTCTCTACTATAAACATGATACGCTTTCCTTTTCTTGAAGTTTGTAAAGAATTTTGCAATTTTTTTAATGAAAATTTTCGATTTTGTCAAAAATAAACGCGTACTTTACTCTTGAACAAAATTCATATTTTGACAAACCGCGTATACCACTGAAAAAAATTGATATTTGATGACTGTATTCTAGGTTTTAGATAATGCAGAACTTTTTATGAGGAATAATTTTTTTGTAAAATTAATAATAAAAATGTTTTCTATATGATTCCAACTTAGGGGGACATACTGTAGAAACAAAACAGAAAAATAATAATAACTAAACATGTTACTCATCGTATTTTGCACACATAGCATTTATACAAATTCTTATGCACACAAAAAACACTTGTGCAGAAGGTAGTAGAATACAAAACATGTAAAAAACGTAACATTGTAGTTTCACCAGTTTTTCTACCATACTCAACTTTACTTTCTAAGGAGGAAATATCTGAAGAAACTTTAGTTTCTAATGAGGAAATATTAGAAGAAATATCGGTTTTCATGGAAGACATATCAGAAGACATTTCGATTTTTAACGAAGAAATCTTACTTTCCATAGAAGAAATTATAGAAGACGCATCATTAGAAAACAAATACGTTTCCGGATTCAAACTTTCCAGTGCTTCTTTAAGCCTCTCTGCCACTTCTGAATTTCTTCCCTGTAGTCTCCAGATCACGATCCTCTAATTCTCGACGCAATTCGGCCACTTTTAAATCACACAGTTTTTTAGCCATGATTGTCTACTATTTATTTACATTATTCCACTTCTCGACACCAATGTGATGTTTGTTTATTTTAAACAACAGTTTATTTATTAACAATTTATTTAAACACTTATTTATTTTATAACACTATTATTCTAATTTATATATATTTCGAATGTCTTAAAACTGTTGCCTATTTATCTTCATTGTCCATGTAATAACTGATTCCGCTTGGTCCTCCACCAATATTTATATACAAATTTTAAAAATTGGCGAATGTGCTAGAAAGTTCACTTATTATCACCAATACACTAGAAACATTATCCCGTTCTTTCTCGAACATTAATCGAAAGCACCTCCGCCATAGTCGTCACATATGTTTGGTCTTAAGGGGTTTAATTATGTATAATAATCGGACAAGTTGAGCCTCAAAGGCCAAATAAGACAGAGAGGGACTTGGATGATTAAAGCATGACTAAATAATGAAATGGCTCACATAACAGTCACTTAATATCCAAAAACGTTATGCCATTTTCCGGGTGTTAATGCTTCTGTTGTTACAAATTCAGCTAAAATAAAAAGGTCACATTTAAGGATTAAAATGGGAAAAGAACTAGTTTTATATAATATATTATGAACATAAAATCTACTGAATGGTGTGATTTCGCCACAGACGTATCTACCGAAACTACTAATTAATAAAGCACTACTGGTTAAGAAAAAACACATGGCTTACCTTCGAAAATATGTATCAACTCTACCATTTCAAATTGTTTTATTATATCCCCGACTCGCCCATCAGCATTCTTCTTATTAACTAAAACCGTTGTAAAACTAAAATCACTTTAAAAGTTATAAAACACACCATGTTCATTAACAATACAAATTACTAGTTACCCCTGTACTTAGAAACACCATAATGATGCCGAAATGTTCATATTAAATTCACAGGTCTTCCGTATAGCTATTAGGTCATGCAACACCTTGTGATAATTTTAAGCACTACATTGAAATATAATCTCTAGATATTAAATAACTAATTAATTTATATCTTTGTAAATTCCAAGGTTGTTAAAAAACATAAATGTAAGTTATACACACGGGTATATGAAAATCAGAGAAATATTACGTATAAACTACGTAGTTGTCAGTAACTTATAACTCAATTACAGTTGA